ATGCCGTTAATATGTCTAGCAGCGCCTGGGGGAAATCCGGCATGCAGTTTTGGATGGTGCCCAGCTTAGATAAAGGATGGCAGGTTTGAGAGCTGCCAAAGACACCTAAGAGTAGGCTTGACAGCCACTGCAAAAAGCTGGGCTATCCCAAAGGGCTGGGTAGTGAGTTGTGTGCTGAGGGGTGGCCCTACCCCTCTTGGTAATGTTGCCTCCACTAAGAAGCATTTCCTCACTCAGATTTTTAAAAATTATTTATTTATTCCATGAGAGACAGAGAGATACAGGCAGCCCCCCTCAACAGGATCTCCACGCCACGATCCACCCCCAGTCTCAACTGGCAAGAGCGTGTGTATGCCCCACATGCACAGGGAAGTCCCGGGACGTGAACCCAGGACCTTTCTCATGTGGTCCAGTTATTTTATGACTAAGTCTCCACCTGGCCCCACATCCCTTCACTCTTCCTGCCCTTAGAGAAAACCCTCTAAGAAGTCTGTAGCTCCATGCAATGACTTCTTATAGGGCCTTGTGATCTTGGGTATGGTTTCTGTGTCTGCGTCCTCCACTCTCTAAACCAAATTGTGGGCTTCCTGAAAACAGGGCCAAATCCGGGAGCTTCTTTCTGGGCTCCCTGGCTCCTGGCCCACGTCATTCCTCCTTGCTCACCATCTCTGTCCTATCCTCCCACAGTCCAGTCCAAGCCCCCTTCACCTCCTGCTCACTTCCTCTCTGGTCTCTCAGCTTCCACTTGGCCCTTATTGCCCCCTACAGAAGGGACACCCTGAAACTCGAGCTTGGTCATCTCACAGCCCTGCTGAGAAACCGTCAGTGCTGCCATTGACATTCCTCACTCTGGGGCAAGAGCTGCTGCCCCATCTCCCACCATGTGCCCTGAGTTGCTTTCTGTCCTTGAACCTGCCACGGTCTCTCCCATCTCCCAGAAGTGAGGAGGAGGTAGTTTATTTGGGAAGGGATTCCAGGAAGCAGTGAGTGCAGAGCAGTAAATGAGGTAGAGAAGGCCACTTGGTTACTCCCATGGGCCACTGGGGTGCAGTTGCACCAGAAACCTCTGGGAGGCCTGGAAAATGCCTTAGAGTTGACCCATTCGAGATGTTTATCCACAAACCCTTCCGACAGGAGTTGAGGGCTTCTCCTGGGGGTGTTTCTTGCTACATTTCTGGCCTATCCCAAGAAAGCCCCTGGGGGAGGGGAGGAATCCAAAGATGCTAACCACAGAAGACCTCTGCATACTCAGGAATAGTGACAGCTGAGGGGAAGTGCGAGAGGGGCACACTAGAAGCTTCTGCTATGATCTAGAATGTTCTAGAATGTCTTTTCCTACTTCTTTTGGCTCTCATTTTAAACATAGCTTCCTCCAAGAGGACTTTTGTCCCTTTCTCCTCCATCTAAATTGCATCTCTTCCCAAAACTACATTTCCTTCATGTCAAAATTATGTGCTGTCGCCTGCCTGCCCTGATGGCTGTAAGCACCATGAAGGCAGGTTTCTTATCTACCCGTCTAAACACAGTGCATGGGAGAGATTACCCAAGAAATATTTGTTCATGAATGAATCAGGACAATCCCCTAGAATGTTAAGCTGCACAGGGACAGGGACTTTTTCTTCTGTTTTGTCCATTGCTTTATCCCCAGTGCATAGATCAGTCCCTCCCACACAGCAGGTGTCAGGTACATATTTTTTGCTAAATGAAGGAAGGAAGGAAGAAAAATAGTATCAAAACAGAAATTCCTAACTGGCGGCCACTGGCCAAATGCAGCCTGCAGACATTGTAGCTTGGCCCCCAGAGTTTTTGAAAAAATGTGAATTTCTTGCCAACATTTAAAAATGAGGAGACTGCACACACCAAAACAATTGAGATTTCCAGCTCTTCTTGAAAAATTAGGAAATGTGGCGATTCTGCGTTCCCACGTGGCCGCAATCAACAGGAGCTATACAGTGCCTGCCTCTCACAGGCGCGCACTCTCCAGCCCCCGCCTGGCACGCTTAACCATTCTTTCTTTTTTTTTTTTTTTTTTTTTTTGACCTATTTTTTTTTAATTTGCTATAGGGAACATGCACACACCAGAGAGAGAGACACAGAGAGAGAGAGGGAAAGTAAGAAAGCAAACCACCAGGCGAAAGTCTAGCACCTTAACCATCATGCCACCTGCTGGCCCCTTAATCACATTTTTTTAGAGGGAAAGATATTTTTGCTATAGGGCACATGTGCTCACTGGAGTGACAGAGAAAGACAGTGAGATAGCAAGTGAGACATCATCCTCCAATGGGGAATGGTCATGCCACAGTCCCTTCTCCTCCATTATCCTCTAGGGATTTGGGGCATGCACACACATGTGAGTTTTAAGCCACCAGGTCTGGGACTTGAACTGGGTTCAACCATGTGGGAGTCCAGCATCATAACCATTACGCCATCTGCTGGTTTCTTAACCACATTTTTTAAAGAGAGAGAAAAAGATAGAGATATAAGTATTTTTTTGAGGGTCTCACCACGCCGTGGTCTTCTGCTCCAGGCTCCAGGTAGCTAGGACTAAAGGCGCACAGTGCTGCACCCAGCCTGTTTAGTTTGGTCTGGGAGCCAAACCCAGGGTCTCTATGCAGCCCTAGCCTGGCTCAGTGTCACTGACAGCTTGCACTGCCTTGCCTGAGCCCCATTTAGCCCATTTATGAAGCTGTCTAGCCCCATTGGCATCTGCATTTCAACATCCATCCGAGGATTACAGAATCACAGAGGGTCAGAGCTGGAAGGACTTAAGAGAAAGTGTTGAACTTGTCTGCATCACACATATGGAAAACCTGAGGTTCAAGGTAGTAAGATCATCCAGAAGAGTGAGAAGGAGACTCAGGCATGACCACCCCTCATGGGGTGGGGGATGCTTTCTCACTTTCCCTTTCTCTCTGTTTCCCTGTCTCTCTCCAGTAAGTGCACAAGCCCTCTGTAAAATTAAAGAATGAGAGAGAGACCCAAAATAATTGTGACTTAAAGAGGATGAAAGTTTATCTCGCCCCCACCCAACAGTTCAGGTGTAGGCAATCCCAGCAGTTAAGACTGTTGCTTAGCCTGAGACCAAGGCCCCTCCAGCCTTGCTTTCTGCCGTCCCGGAGTTTGCCCTCACTGGTGGGCAAACCATAGCTCATTTCACATCTACATTCTAGCCAGGAAGAAGAGGCAACAGGAAAAGGGGAATTTGCCTCATCTTTTTAAATTTTTTTAGAGATTTCTGCCAAAGGCCACGTGAAATTCACTGGAGAGAGAGAGACAGAGATAGTGAGATGGAAAATGAGGAATCACCCCTTGGGGGGATGACCACGCTGCAATCCCTTCTCCTCCATTCTCTTCCAGGGGTCTTGGGCACACACGCACATATGCTGAGTTTCAAGCTACCAGGTCTGGAACTTGAACC